CAGTATTTTGCCAGGCCAATAATGAAGCGGCTATGTTATTTGTCATAGCTGCCGAGGGTTGTTCGATAATTCGCCCTGTTGTACGCGCGCTAGATCGCGGGAGAGTTGGGGTAGGTTGTTGCTCAATTGCAACGTTGTCTTTGGTGGACGCGTAAATGGAGCTGGAGATACCCTGAGTAGAATCTCTTCGCAGAGGTTTTTTTGGCGGATGCAGTTGGGTAGCTGTTACCGATACGGGAGCTGGCGTTGGAGAGAGGGAAAAGTTTTCAGAGGAAGAGTTGGAAGGGCATTCGTTTTCCAGTCTGAGGTCCATGAACTCGTCTTCGGAATCCATGTAGATGGGTTCAGCTGGAGATTGTTGCTTCTCAGCTGCGGCTGCTAGGATAATTTCCTCCTGGACAGTTGGGAGCGGAGGGCTAGGCCTCGCACGTTTGACTGCGCGCGAGACAACTCGAGCAGGGGATACGAGTGTCGTGGGAATTTTACGCCTCCCGGGGGGCATCTTGACATCTTGGGACGATGAAAAGTAGGAAAATTGAGTAACGAGATATATCTTAACTTGGGGAAAAAACGTGTGCTTGTTGTCTCGATAAGTGATGTTTATTTATTTATAATATTTAACGTCGTACCCGCACACAGCACGTGAGCTCCTCAAGTACCGATTAGCCCAGTCTATCTACAACTACCCGACGTGTTGGCGCTTACATAGACCCAACATGACAAATGAAAACCCAGGATCTTATTATCATGTGCTCGAAGACTTAATTAAACATGAGTATCAGCCTCCCGTTGTCTCTCATGATCTGCAGATGTTATTCCATGGAGAATATAAAGCAAAGAAATAAAACTTGTGTCGGTAAAAGGTTCATATTTTGGCAGTATGAATTGTTCTATGTATTTGCGGTATTCAGGTTGTTGTTAGGACACCGACAGGGGTCTGATTTAGCTCATTAGCGAGGCGCTTGGAGTAGAGGAAGGAAGGGGAGATGGAGAATTAAGAAGAGAGACAACGTTTTATGTATTTCGAGATGCCAGTTAATTGACATTATTTACCGACTTCGTGACAGACAGCTGACTTTGCGACGGCACCCAATTTATATTACTTCGTGTTTTACCAACAACTAGTAACGAGAAATATTGGTTGCGTCGCTTTAAAGCTCTTACGCTTTTGTTACAAGACTTTATTCTCGTCAGACTTGTTGTGCTTTTCGAAAAAAGTTTGTGTCATGCACCCAGCTACTGAATGCATGAACTCCCTCCGCCGTGACAAGAGACCAAGATGTGTTGGGATAGAAGATCTGCGCCCTGTAGAGCTCTGCCTGTTACTGCCCGAGGTTGCAATAGAAAAAGTGGTCGGGGGAGTTCTCTTCTCCTCATGAGCAGGTAAGGGTGGCATCTTCATGCTGAAAGCGTCGGTGGTAGTCCACGAAGTCGCCGTGACTGGACCGTGCAGATAGTATATATCCTAATGCGCGTCGCCCCAGACGGGCGAGCTCAATGTTAATCTTAGTATTAGGACCAATACCTAATTCTTTGTATCTAGAAGGTGCATTTTCTGCCCAATAAAGTGCGACTGAAGTCTCGTATTGGGCTTTGACTTCTCTCCTTGCCCTCGCAATGGAGATTTCTAAGTGTGGAGCTGGAGCCGCACAGACGGCTTTAGCAAGCGCGTCGGCTGCTTCGTTCCCGAAAATGGCTACATTGCCTGGGCACCATCGGATAGCCACTTTCCCAGGCGTCGTATTTTGACCGCGTGATCTTCTCTTCCAGTTCATTGTGAGCTTGCGAAAGATTAATATGTTCGCCGAGCTGGACGCTGTGGGCGTATCCAAGAGCAGACGGATGGCAGCCTCCTGGTTGTCAAGGCAGACAGTGACGTTAGAGGCATAATAGGCCAGTGGGTTGCGAAGAGCTGCGGCAAGGCCTTCAGTGGCCCCAGCAATTTCGACATCATACACTTCTGCCGAGTTTCCGAGCGGGAGTGATCCTCGCCCGATCTCCTGCGTAAGACCTCGGTAGATAACATAGCCCGCACCTGCTCGGTCTTCTATCAGAGCTCCGTCTGAGGACTCTTACAAGTTATACACACTAAGAGGTACTTGTTAGATTATATATCACGTGATGAATATAAACCTCCTATCCCATGATAGGTGTAACGAATAGTCCCCAACTGGACCGGTAATTTCCTTTCCATTTGACAAAGCTACTGCTTAACATTGCGAAGGCCAACAATTAATCCTAAAAGGTCTCCTGCAGCGATCTCACAAATTCATCGGGGCCAATTTAAATAGGCCATGACATACTGTATGTATTTGTAAGTATTCACAACAAAATAAAATATATTATATTCTCAACAATTATTGCTGCCGGCACGACAGGAATCCTTGGCACAAATTCTTATCGGGCCTAAATCATGTAGTCACGGAACTTCTAGTAAAATATGCAGTTATACTTACTGTTCTTACAAATCTTTATAATTTGATTTTGGAAAAACTCCTAGGCTCTGAAAAAATGATATCCTTAGACATTGATAAGGTTTCAATTTCTAACCAACATCATCGAGTCGTGCTTGCTCCCTTGAACCCCTGGATCACTCATGACTACATACAACTACATATAGACTTATCACGAAGATATAAAGTGAACCCTGGGCATGAGTGGGGGCTTGATGACAGACCTACGTGAGGGAATTATCCAGATCTAGCTCACGGGGAAGATTGCGCATGGAGACTAGCATTTTGCAAGGGTATATTTCTGAATCGTGCCTTCAGTTAATTGGCCCAGTTAGATAATGTAAGAATTAGAATCATACAGTTTGAGTCACATCGTGAAACTGCTAACTTTGACCCACTGAGAACCCAGGTTGTTCTGGTATCAATACTGAAGATTTTAATTTCGTCTTCTTCACATGGCTTCTGTTTGAGTTTTGTTCTGAATACCTAATCAATCAAAATCCGGTACATTGGGCTAATCTCTGACCCAGACTTCGCCACGTACAGCGCTCATGTCTACATGTGCTTCAAAATTTGATATCCAACATGGCGCCCATTATGGATAAATATTTCGCTCAGTTTTTTTTATTGTATTAGTTGAGTCACAGAAAATCTAGAATTTCGCTCAGTTTTGACCCGCAGGACTAAGCCGCTTCAGGGGGACTATTCTCAACACCTGTCAGTGGTGTCCCCTACAAACCTCCAGCTCTCATTGTAGAGTCTGCAGAGCCGAGATCGAGTAACAAAGTCCTCACTTCGATGAGGATTCCCGATCGCTTTCGCGGTCTATATCGTCAACATCCCTAAGCACATCCCCCTATCACTATTATCATGAAACTAACCACGATCAGGTCAGATGGTAGGGTCGGAGCCCTTCTAGTCACCAACCCTTGATCATAGAGGAAAAGCCATCCCATGAGTTCCCGGGGCGTACCCAGCATCCTATACACGATGGTGACATGTCTGATCTGGGCTAGAGAGGAGCCCACTGTATTAGATAGTCATAGACTCAAGTAGCAGAATAAACACTTACTCACTCAACCGTCCAATCTTGAACTATGTTTCTTGCGTCGGGGAACAACTTGACACATATTCACAGTGTCTGCTTCTAGCATTTCAATATGACCTCCAATTCGTCCCAAGGCTCAAGCGATGGAGGGAGTTGATAATTAGCCAAGAAGGCAGAGGCGCTTCACCCAGGCACGCACAACTCTAGTGTGCTCGATTGGTAGATTTCTTTAAACGCTTCAGTGTGGTAGCTTTGTCTCTGAGACTAGTTCTGATTTCAAGATAAGGAGAGCTGGGTAGTGAGTGGTTTTTGCAAGCTTTTCCTGCTACCAAAAAACGGCAAATTACCCTCACTTGGTAGTATGAAGAGGGGGCTTGGCGAGGAGCAAAAGATTTCTCTGAACATGTAATCAAATGAAGACTTATGAAAGAGGCTACTGTTGGAAGGATGCTACAAACATGGCATAGGTTTTCTTGACGAGTAGACCGAGTGGAGGACGTTTCTGATGTGTTATTAGATGGAAAAGGACAACTAAAACATGTCAGGCTAACAACTTCTCGAATATTTATCATTATTGATACATCGCACCTTCTGATAAGATCCCAAAAAAAGTCTGAGCAACCAGGTCTACTCCCCAGCCCATTTTGTACTTCTTACCTTCATCGATAACGAGTTTTTCCAATAATCATGCATTCTGAAACTATCTGTATAATCAGGGTGAAGATCCTCTACTTACTGGTAAAATGTAGATCTGCCTCTTTGATAGCCCCCAGCCAATAGCAGCCTCCTTCATAAGTCTTCACTTGATTGCATGTTCAGAGAAATCTTTTGCCCCTCGCCAAGCCCCCTCTTCATACTACCAAGTGAGGGCAATTTGCCGTTTTTTGGCAGCAGGAAAATTATTAACTCCTTCCATCGCTTTAGCCTTGGGACGAATTATGCATATTGAAATACCGATAAGGTCTCTCCCCAGACTGTATAATGTAATGTAGCAAAGTCAAATCCTTGTGAGTCTTCGGTAATGTAGAACGCCATAGGCTCTTTGAAAGTAGTACCTGCAGGCTCGACGTCCAAGGGGTACATCACGGACAGAAACTAAGCCAGTATCTCCCTCATGACCTTATTTTGGCTGGTGTGAAAATGGCAGCCGAGATCCTTGGAAAATCTATTAAACTTGCATCGAATATGGGAGTCATGGTAATTGTAAATAGACGAGGGCCGGTCTCACCAATAATTTATAACCCGCTTACCCAGTTTACACTAGCGTGAGATTCACACCAACAGCATCATCGTTACAGCATCCTGCTTCATCTGGCAGTCAGTCTAAATTATTTCGACGCTGCGGCATCAAAACTACGTCCACTCCCTCCAGTAATCTAGCGAGGCCGTGAAACAATTCAATTATCTCAGTATTTATGTGTGTGAAAAGTATTACACTCCCATGAAATACAGCAACTCCCGTTACTCCTTTATCCAAGGACAATCCTAAATTCAGTGCTATGGGCTCTATACGGATATCGCGGCGCACTAACCCCCTTACAATAATTGGGGGGGTTATACTTTGTATCATAACATTCTTCTTTTTTTCATCCCATTCCAATACTGACAAGGTGGCTTCTCAACTTCGAACCGCAGGCTCTACATCAAATTCTCTATTCCCTCACACCTCTCCCTTTCGAAAGCGGCAAAGAAATACTGATGGTAGTCGAAAACCTCCTCCAGTGGTGCACTATCAAATGAATAGTGTTTCAACCTCTAGCGATCCTGTCGGCAATCGAGAGAGAGTACTTATTTTAACGCCCCTGGAACGGTTTTACCAAGGATACTGGGACAATCTAATGCTCTTATCATATCCCCACGAACTTATCACCCTTGGATTCATAATTCCAAAGAATAGGCAAGGAAATATTGCAATGGCAGCTCTACAAGAGCAAATTGCCAAAACACAAAAGTTAGGACCAGCCAAAGATAAATTTGCAAGTATTATTGTTGAAAGGCAAGACTTCGAATTTCCATTAGCCTCTCAAAGCGACGCCGAACGTCACAAACTTGAGAGCCAGAAGATTAGGCGTGCAGCTATGTCAAAGGCTAGGAACTCCCTTCTTTTCACAACCCTTGGTCCTGCGATTTCCTGGGTGCTTTGGATAGACTCTGAAATAATTGAAACACCGAAAACGCTCATTCAAGATCTTGCGTCCCACAACAAGCCGATTATTGTGCCTAATTGCTTCGAGAAGTATCCTGATCAGAGCACTCAGAAACCCACAGAACGCCCTTATGACTACAGTAACTGGCAAGACAGTGAAACTGCGCAAGATCTTGCTAGGAAAATGGGACCGGATGATATTTTACTAGAAGGCTATGCCGAGCTGGCTACATACCGAAATTTAATGGTGTTTATGCCCACCGACGATGGTGATCCCAGAATGGAAATAGATCTTGATGGGGTTGGGGGAACTGTCTTACTTGTGAAGGCAGAAGTACATCGAGACGGTGCTATGTTTCCGCCATTTCCCTTTTACCATTTGATAGAGACAGAAGGGTTTGCCAAGATGGCTAAACGATTAGGCTGGAATGCGACCGGCTTGCCTAACTACAAGGTAAAGAGACCTCCACATCTAACTACAAAGTACTCACTCAAAACCATAGGTTTATCATAACAACACTTAAAGTCAGATGTCTTCCTTCCGCATAATTGAAGTTAAACTAAAATACGCACAGAGTTTTATCCCCGCTACAATATGAAGGCATCTTAAATATCCGCCAGTTCCAATCAAAAATTATCGTTCACTTTCCTGCGAGTCGTCTATTCTCGTAAGCCTCACATAGTACCCTACAGGTGAAAGAAAATTTACCACCTCTATTTCTCAAACCTGGGTGCACCAAATAATAAAGATACTCGAATATGTTTTACCTCACTTTTTTACCCTCCTTGAAACGAGTGAAGTTGTTTGCTTTATTACAAACTTCATTATTCTTATCCACAACCGGCTCTTTGGAATAACAATTACTATCAGCCGGAGAACGATTTAAAGTATTAGTAACTCGGTCCGATTCATGGGGAAGCTGCGCTATGGAACAAACAATCTCTACAGTTGAGAAGCCATAGTCCACTTAACTTGCGATATTTTATGTGGTGAGGCGTTCAGTGTATATTAGATAGAAGTCCCGTAATTATTCACGACGAGGATTAGACAATCATATTATGGATTTACGGAGGTTTCTTTATGCGGAACGGGAAAAGTACTTGGTGCAAATGTTTTATAGGTATTGGGTCGGTTTGAGTTCTAGTCTGAATAATGGATAGAACCCACGAATTAAAAGCGTATCTTCCCAGCAGGCTGTCTTCTTGTGGCTCGGCAACTTCTTACAAGCATTGGCCAGGAGGTCGGGCTAGCGCATCTAAGTGGCGCCATCGCTTCGCTTACCACAACCAAATCATGTAAATCCTCGAACCAGCTGAACTATCTGCGTCAGCTAAGCATCCCTTTTACCCCAACATTAGGCGCAGTATCCTCCACTAATTTAAGTCAATCCGCACCCAGTCAGTTCCCAAGAGTATAGCCGATTTTTTTGACGACGCAAACATCACCGCTAACTTCCATCTCGCGAGAACTAGGCCTTCAACGAATCCGAAGCCCGATCTCTGTCATCATGTCGCAGAGTGCCGCTAAACGCGTTCTAACCGAGCTCCGCAACTTTGCTGCCAGTGGCAACGACTCGGTTTTCGTTGAAGCTCTAGCACCTACATCGCACGACAACGTTCTCGAGCTCGCGGCCATTCTCAGCGGTCGTGCGTTGCCGAAGTCCACAGGCTACACTGGCGGGCGCTGGCGTCTAGCCATCGCCGTGCCGATCGGCTACCCAAATGTGCCTCCACGGCTACGCTTCGTCACTAAGGTCTGCCACGCTAACGTTAGCTGGGACACTGGTGCCATTTGTCTAGATCTTCTCCGCCAGCGCTGGACACCTGTACTTGGCCTCGTCGCTGCCCTCGAGTGTGTCGGCCGACTCCTTGCTGATGCTGCCACTGATAGCCCTCTTGGCCTCGAGGTTGCTGCTCTCGAACGCAATGGTGATCTCGTCGCGAAGCGCGCCCTAGTAACTTACTGGTGCGCTGAGGAACGCTGGGAGGGTGACTTGGACGACATAGAGCCTTGTCCACAACCACATCACTTTTCCTGAAAGGCGGCCATAAATTTAGTTACTCAGTTACTCTTGGGTTTTTATCAGGCCTTGCATCATTTTAATAGCCTGTCATCTGACTTGCGTATTTTCATCAAAACATGCTGTGGAAGCATTTTATTTCTCGCCCGATTGTCATCTATTTTATCAGAAGTTCCACAAGTTCTTTTAAACCTAATAACAGGATGCGTGGTCAGAGGGATGAGAATTCATCAGGATAGGGCCGTATATTCTCGCACAAGCTTCCCGTTCGATTAAATCAGTATAGTTGGTCTAACCTTGGAAGATTGCAATTTTTGATATCATTAACTTTATAAATCTATGACTATGTCTGCTACTATTTCGTGCAATATCACTCATCTTCAGTACTTCATGTGTGCGAAGGATCCTTCCTGCAGAAATCAGCCCGTCATTTCCCCATTATTAATCCCTTAACTCACGCCAGTCAATGGCTCATTTTTGAAATTCCATCTATGCCAAGATTATCATCTCGGAGTCATGAATGGCAATTACAAGTGTCAGCGTATTTTTGCGCATAACATTCCCAGAATGCCATGCTAATTAGTTACTCTTTTGTGAATATTGTAAGTAAAAAGCGCTCGAATTAAATCCTCTGCAACCAATGACTGAGTGCTATTCAGAATATATCTCGTTTGGAAAATGATTCAATTTCTAAATGTGTGAATCTGATTTCGCTAAATTTTGAACCGATTACGACGGCAAATTTTGGAGAAAATCACCATATGGAATGCAAGAATTTTGGGCATACCTGAGTTCCATAGTCATGCATGAGCTGAGGCACGTTTCACTCATCTCTTAAATAACTGAGTAACAACCATTAAGAAGAGCCATCGATTTTCTTCCAGAACTTTTTGAGTCGACTGATTCGCCTGCCTTTTGTTCTTGTCTCTTGCGATCGTTCTTCTTCCGAGTAACTAGCTGATCTAGACCCGTTCCCCAACTTTCCTCTTTCGCCGTGAGAGCTGCTGATTAATCGAGAGAGGCTAGCAATACTGGAGCGCTTGCGATTTGCGATTGTTGCCGAAAATGAGGCTGATCGCTTGCCATCACGAAGACAAGTTTTATTATTGTCGTTCTCCCGAGCTAGGAAGTCACTACTGGTTGAATCACAGCTTATCAATGAAGGTACATCATCAACAGACATTCTAAGCTCTGGACCGGGTTCTCCAAGGAGTAATGATTCGTACATATGTTCATCTGAAGGGGTAACTTTTGATTTAGCAGAGATAGATATGCAGTCATACCCGATTTTCATGAGTGGAGTGTAAGATTGTAGCTGATTAATAGAGTTCGGCGATGTCGTGAATCGAGGTTGGAGGGTTTTCAGGTTGGATTCGTCTGAAACTGGATTACAAATGGAGTTCTGAAACTGTTTCGATGCCGATATTGTAGTTTCGAGGCTGCATTCATTTTCCTTGACGTCATCAGCCGAGATAACTGGGAGCTTCATGATGCATTGCCTGATTGACTTGTTAAGAGTCACTTGTTTGACTGTTTGTGAATTCAAACTGTGGCTTGAGTTAGAATCCTCAACATGTGTCTCGCATTCGACTTTTGTATTCTTGTCCTTGTTCACAGCCTCATAACCATTAAGTTTTATTTCGGCACTTGAGCTTAATTTGTTATTTTCACTGGGTTCTTGTGATGAAACAATGGAATCTTTTTCGCAGGTCCGAGTATCTTCCCACTCCTCGTCCTCGTCTTCCTCGAAAACATCTTCCATGGTCATTTTGGAACCAGTTCCAAGCCGGTTGGGGCCGAATCGGAGATTATCAAACTCAGGAGCGCTTTCTGAACGCCTGTGATAGTGCATTCCAGGACCTGTAAAGCACCCGAGTCCGGCGGCACTGTGCATCATCTTTTTTTTCATGCGGTTACGTTCAGTGTAACTGTTGTAGTCGTTTAGATTAGAGGTAGGAGTATTGAAAGGTCCTAAAGCGGCATCGAGATCGATTACTGGACTTATGGGCTCGTCTTCCTGCAACATTATCTTCGGCTTCCAATTAGTGAAATCAGTCTCCAGTCGCATGTTCAGAGGTAGAGGTTGCTTCTGCATAGGTCCTTCTGGTAACGGAACAGCATCGATAGATCTGTTGATGCGTCGAGGAGGTGTCAGCGATCGACGGTTGAGCTTGTGTTTCTGGCTCATTTTCCGGGACCTACGAGACAATATCGAGCCTGCCCAGGTCCTGACCTTTTTGGGTTTTTTCACTTGCTTTCCACAACAAGAAGATCTCCTCACGGGATTCGGCTTCGTTTGGAGTGTATCAGTCTGACGTGGAGCTGATGATTTTGGTGAAAGTTCGATTTCAGTGGCTGCTCTATCTTGCGTAAAGAAATTAGGAGATGTTGATTCTAGTCTTTGAGATGGCTCCACAGGAGGTGCTTCGTGGTTAAAAAATGTCCACCTCTTTGAGGATCGGGGTGTACTTGGTTCTGATAAGGTACCATTTGATACGTCTTCAAGAGTCTTGAATGGTAAGTTTCTCAGAGAGCAGGTGGTTAGATCGGATCGATGTTGGTTTTCTGTAGTAGCAATGTTAGATTTATTTTGTACTTCGTTAGAGGATTTCTGGGTTTCTGTTTCGTTGGTGCCATTGGAATTTGTTTCTGACGAGGAGAGTGTTGCAGGAAAGGAAGAGGCCGGGTTCATTGGAGGTTCTCTTATCGATGATTCAGTTGGAGCCACAGAGACAGTAGGAGGTATAATCTTTACATCTTCAGAAAATTCAACTCGCGTACCCTTTAATAATTTATGAGGCTGGTTATTCGTTTCGAGTCGAATTGAATTTTCCAACCCATTTCCAGCGTCATTCGGATATAAAGCTTGAGTCGGAGTCACACGAATATCTGGGCTTGGAGAAGTTGGTAGACTGCCTCCCATTGTTCGGTTAGGATTAGGCTTTAGAATGATACTCAGGTCACCAGTAGAGATGGCTGCAGATCTTCGATGGGCGTGACCTCGTCGTTTACTGATGGATCCCATGGGTGCACCACCATCAAAATTGAAGGGAGGCGCGAGAAAAGAAGGTGACATGAATTCTTGATTGATCCCCACGTTGAGCTCACTTTCATTCCTCATGTGAGCAATTTTCTGGGAGTTTAGTGCCTGGGAGGACAGCCTTGAAGGGCATTTCGGCTTCTCATTTGGAAATATTGTGGAGTCCCTGATTATCGTGTCTGGAGAATTGGATTGACAACTTGTTCCGTATGCAATTAAGGACCTAGGCCGTCGACTTGTGTTCCTTTGTTCTTGTGGTGAATTTGATGTGATGGCTGAACCAGCTTTGGCCGGAAACACAAAACTTGGCAAAGGTAAGGGACCGGATAGGGTCATTCGATTAGCTGAATTAGAGGACACAACATTTGTGACGGTTGAGATGTAAGGGGCATTGACGATATCAGCTTTGCTGGGGGAGAACGACATGCTGCTGTGCACTCCAAATGATGAGTGAACGGCCGTC